ACTTCCTCCTGGGGAGCTGATTTCTATCGTCCGGGGACCAGCTAGAGATCTCCAGGCCCCACCTGGAGGTTGCTGACCCTTGACAGGGTTGCCATTGCCAGTTCTGGACTGGGAAACTCCTAGAGATTTGGGGGTGTAGCCTGCCCAGCGCATGGTTCGGGGAGAAGCCTCAGCAGAGTGTGATGGTCAATCAGTCTGCCCTCCAAAGCAGCCATTTTCTCCCAGGAAACGGACCTCGGTCTTCAGATCCGATGTCATTCCAGGAGATCTCCAGGGCCCACTATTTGCACTAGTTTTATCAATATTTTTTTAACAAATCTTCATTCGGTTTTTTTCCCCCTTTTCACCTTTTTCCCAACTTTGTGGTGCCTCCTTTGGCCCTGGTGCCCTAAGCACGTGCTTAGTCTGCTTAATGGTTAACCTGCCCCTGGATGTCATGATACAGCCCATCCTCCAGTGCTGCCACTTCCTCCTGGGGAGCTGATTTCTATCGTCCGGGGACCAGCTGGAGATCTCCAGGCCCCACCTGGAGGTTGCTGACCCTTGACAGGGTTGCCATTGCCAGTTCTGGACTGGGAAACTCCTAGAGATTTGGGGGTGGAGCTGCCCAGGGCACGGTTCGGGGAGAGGCCTCAGCAGAGCGTGATGGTCAATCAGTCTGCCCTCCAAAGCAGCCATTTTCTCCAAGGGAACGGACCTCGGTCTTCAGATCCGATGTAATTCCAGGAGATCTCCAGGGACCACCTGGAGATTGGCACCCCTCAATGAGACCCCCAAGCACACTTTAAAAGAATCTGGTGTAGAACAGCAGCTCTGCACCAAAGCAGCAGTCCGCACACGCTCTCGGGACGCGGCCCCCCAAAACGTTTCAAAGCCTTTGATTTATGGCCAGCGAATCTTTCAAGGTATTAACCAGCCGAAGGAATGCTGGCTTTATTATCCACCTGAACAATCATGCAATAACATTCGGCTCGGGCCGGTGGTGTTTCATGCTGGCTCCCGCCCACTGCCGTGTCTCCACCCCCACCCTCGGTTCACACACACAAAGATCTCATCAAAGCAATTTCTAACTGATTTGCTTTGGAGCATAAAAAAGCCTGCAAATGAATAGCACATTTCCCATGCGCAGGACCGCAACTAGGGTGATTCCAGAGGGACTGCATGCTTCTTTGCAGACAGAGAGGTTTTTTTTGTTTTTTTCAGATGGAAGAAAGAATTGCTGAGCAGGCCATTTTCTTTTGTTCTATGCAATTAGTGTAGGTGCTATTAATTAACTGCTGAGCTAACTTCAAACAGGCCCGGGGCAGGAATGTTGGAGGACTCCAGCTTCCAATGGTTTTATAGCAGGCCAGAAAACATGGAAATGACCGATGGGAATTCCTTGTCCAGACCTGCTTTCCCAGACTTTCCTTACTCTGTGATTTCCCCCCAGATTTCCCAAAATTACCCAGGTTGGATTTTTCTAAACAGCAGCAATAGCAATGTTGTTATTATTGGGTTGTATCCAGTGGATCTGATCTGTTTCACAAAGGGAATCCATTTCCCTCGACAGAAGGAGCTTCCCTGTTGCAAGCTCTCTTGAGACATCAAAAATATCCTAGGTGGTGGAAACTGCTGCCCAATCACAGCCAACTTATGGTGACCCCATCTATTTTTCAAGGCAGGAGATGAACAAAAGCGGTTTGCCATTGCTTGCCTCTGCACAGCAACCTTGGACTTCCTTGGGGGTCTCTCATCCAAATACTAGCCAAGGCTGACCTGGCTTAGCTTTCAAGATCTGATGAGATCAGGCTAGCCTAGGCCAGCCAGGTTAGGGTAAGGTAAAGGTAAAGGTTCCCTTGCTCGAAAGCCAGTCGAGTCTGACTCTAGGGTTGCGGTGCTCATCTCCATTTCCAAGCCGAAGAGCCAGCGCTGTCCGAAGACGTTTCCGTGGTCATGTGGCCGGCATGACTAAACACCAAGGCGCACGGAACGCTGTTACCTTCCCACCGAAGTGGTACCTATTTATCTACTTGCAATTTCTTGCTTTCGAACTGCTAGGTTGGCAGGAGCTGGAACTAGAGACGGGAGCTCACTCCGTCATGCGGCAACTCGGGTCTCGAACTGCTGAACTACTGACCTTCCACAGCCTGCAGCAGCATCTTAACCACTTGAGCCACCGCAGCTCCTTCAGGTTAGGGTAGAAACCTTATACCGGGGAAAGTACCACTGGTAGAAGAACAGATCCACTGGATACAGCCCATAATAATGTACATCCCTCTTGTCTTCTAACACAAAACTCAAAGGAAATACCTTTGTTAGAATCAAGGGTCACATAATCTCTCTGCAGACATTCACATAAGGGGAAAGCAAGATCATACCAGCAAGAGCAGATACACATGGGCATGATCCAGAACTGCCCACGCACCTGCATTCTCTGTTGTGGCCCCCACCTTAAGCTGATAAGGTCAGGAAAGCTCCCTTTCTTCTGACATTTCACAAACTACGCAAAACTGAATTATTCAGGAGGGTATTTTTACCAAAGTAATAGGGCTTTATTGCAATCAGGAAGAATAAGGGGAAAGACTATGGACTATATTATTGTGTATCCTGTATACTATCTGTTACTGTATGTATCAAGCTAGTTTGGTGTAGCCAGTTCTGTGTAGAGGTCAGGAGCGCGGACTCTAATCTGTGAGAAACGGGTTTGATTCCCCACGCCTCCACATGCAGCTGCTGGTGTGACCATGGGTCAGTCATAAGTTCTTTCAGAGCTGTCCTCTCAAGGACAGTTCTGAGAGCTTTCTCAGCCCCATTTACCTCACAGAGTGTCTGTTGCGGGGAGGGGAAGGGAAGGGGATTGTAAGCCGCTTTGAGGCTCCATCGGGTAGTGAAGGGCGGGGTATAAATCTCTTCTTCTCTTCTATGTAATTTCTGCATTGCTTAATATGCCGTAGTAGTACATATTCTCTGTTTCAGGTTTGTCCCAGGGTTTTTTCCTTGCAATCCTAATCCTATTACATTGCTTATTCGATGCCCCATTGTATGATGCAGGTTTGGGGCTCTCTGCCAAGATACTCAGCTTCAGGCTATACAGTTCAGTAAATCAGGCAAAAGTACTTTTATTATCAAAGAACGGGCAAGGCAACCTTGACTAACAATAATTAGATAAACAAAGGAAAATTCAACATCCTTCAGTGGTTGCCAAAATACAAATAGTCATTAAAATCAGCCGAAACTTACTCAAACTCCAAAAGGCAGGAAGAAATCCTGCCCAAAAGACGTGTGCTTGCTGTCCCCCCCCCTGGCTTTTATCCTGGGAAGGACACTACCCCCTCCCTCTATCCAGTCCAGCTGTTAATTAAGATATCTCAGCTGTGCAGCTCTTGCAAAGCTAAAGACCAGGCAGTTCCTGCAGTGACTTGCAAGGTCGATCCTCCCCCTCCTGCCCTCACTCAGTTCTTCAGTATTGCTGTTTTACACACAAGCCCCGTCTCTTCCTTACATCCATCCTACTGAATACATTGACTCACACTGCATAATCCACCTAAGATCTTGGTGAGAAAGGAAGATAATGGCCCCGGTCAGACGGCAAAGTTGCCGCGGGAGAGGCACGGGAGTCCCGCGGATTTCCCGGGCTCGATCTCACCCCAACATCTGGGAAGCGCAGTGCTCCCGTTGCGAACCCGTGGCTCCCCGCCGAAGGTGCGGAGTTAAAAACTAGTGCCTACGAGGTACTAGTTTCCTGAAACCGCGGGCCAAGGGCGGGCGTCTCATCGCGTTCCCGGTGGACTTACGTGGCATCAGGCGCTTGCCGCTGTTCGTCTCCACAGGTTGCGCAACAGCG